GTCTTCTCTACAGCTTCTTGGCCCACTTCGAACATGTTCACGAGGTGCCTCCAGCCGGTTTTGGCTGTGATCAGGAGGTACTCCGCGTTGTCGGGGTACAGCCGGGCCGTGTGCGCGGCTATGACAAGGGACTGCGCGAACCTCCCGCTCACCAGCAGGAAGAGGGCGCCGCGCTCTGGCGCTGTGAGCGGCAGGACGCTCTCGAAGCCCGCCAGGACGTGCCCCCCGACGGCCAGAGGGTCCGAGCTCTCGATCATCATGTACATGATCGCTATGGCCACTTCGAATACGTAATATCCGTAACTCATGTCACTGAAATCCAGGATGCCCGACACTCTGTACGGAGGAGGATGCTCCAGGGAAGCAGAACTAGGCTCCACCAGAATGTTGTGGTCATTAAGGTCTCCGTGATTGATACCTAAACACGGGAGAAACAGAAAGCATATTTAATAAACAGCAGAATCTAATCCCCCTCCCCCTATTTCTCAGTGGAACAGCTTTGAAAAGACACATAGAGGTTCAGACTAACACTTCAGCCACAACACTGAGGTTGTGACAACACTGACTGGTCTCCTCCAGCACCAACTGTTGCCCTTACTGCTTCCTGGGCACCTTGTTCCATTAACAGGTGACCAGACAGCAAGTGAGGAAGGGAAAAGAGCTTCTTCTGGTCTGGTACTACACGTGTTCCAAACACAGAGCAGCAGTTTTCACTTTACCAAACTCTCAAATCATCATCAACATCAATGTGAGTGGAATGCCAAAAATGTGATTAAATGGTTATTTGGGCCCCTCTGGAAGGAGGAGGTGCCCTTGAGACATTCTCATTAAGCTGATATAACAGCATGAAAGTCACCACTTTAACTGGAAGCAAACTCATCAGAAAGATCAAGAACTGAACTTGCCTCTGGACAACATACTCCTCCCTGCTGATCCTGTGCTGTTTGCACAGTATCTGCACATGTCCAGCTAAGGATAAAGGACGCTTATTTTTCACTTTTGTTTTTCCTTCTCCACAGACCCAAATGCCTGTAAGAAATTGCAGTGTCTTGGTTCAACATAATTACAATGAGAATAAAGTACTCACAGGCTCGAAAACTGCTTAGCTTGGGTATCACTTTCCCTTTGAACTGCTCAATGACTTGTTCCACAACTTCACGATATTTGTTCTGGCCCAAGGCATAAATGTACTGATCCAGAAGAGGAACGTTTGCCAGGTTCCAGATGAACTGACCTCGATGCAGACTTTTTACTGATGGATGATGGAATCTCTATGGAAACAGCACAAGATAAAATAGGCCATAAGTAAAAATCTTGGGTTTATGATCGAAGGTCTCGATCCAAACCCCCTATTAACTTTTAACAGGTTCCTAATGAGACCCACTGAAAAGCAGCATGACTTTGACCATTGCTTCATACCAACAAGTAAAAGAATAACCCAAAGAATGATTAAGGGAAGCATCTTAGTATCTACGTACAACCCAAATGGGTTTTCTCCCATTTTTTAGGTACAAAAATTGTCTTAAGTCATTCATCACTAATTTAACACTGATGATACTGACTTTCTGTAGTGTGACATTATGTAGCGACTGCGAGGCTTTGCCAAGGCCAGAGTCCCACAATGGCAGGGCCTGGCCCATGCAGCCTGCAGGGAACAGGCACACTGTGCATGCATTTAAATGTGGCAGCTTCTAAGGACAAGCCTTAGGATCAGCTGGTACATGAAGAAATGCTGAGGACAGGGGTGCTTTATGGAGATGCTGGACAGAGCTTTATTCTTAAGAACATCTCCTTTTGCACATCCAGGCAGCATATTTTAAACAAATAAGGTCTTTAACCTGTTTCTCACTAGCAACGAAAAGGTGGTTTGGAAGGTGACATTCAGGGAGGAAACCCCTCTCTCCCACTGCATACATACTATGCTTATTCTTGAATCCTCTAATGCTTGGTAAGGCAGCTTCTGGGCCAGATTCTACCAGTGCATAGGGCAAATAAAAACCAAAAAACAAGAGTAGCTGTCTTCCTCCTAAAAAGAAACTTATGCTTGTAATTAAGGCTCTTTAAGATAGCTAAATGATAACCAAAACTGGAACTGCGTATGCAAAAGTAAGGAACATGATCAAGCATTAACCAAAAATCGCAGTACAGGATCTCTAAAGCTGTATGAAGCACCACACTGGTGGCAACCACTGCGGTCTTCCCAGCACAAATCAGACATTCCAGCAGCCTACATGGGGGTTACCAAGGATGTGGAAGGTAAGAGAGAGTCACGAGCCCTTGTTACTGTAAAGCCACAGGCAGTCACTTCACAGGCACGAACTGCTTTCCATTTAAACGCTATGAGGCATATCCGAGCAAAAGAAGATATGAGCAGAGAAAGAGGTGGAACACTGTTCTGTGCACAAAACAAAGCATGGCCCATGGCTGTGCCAGCAAGTCAGCAAAGTGAATTAACTGGGTAGAAAAGACAGGCTGTGTTTTCTGAGCTTAATGCCTGAGGTGCTATTTTTAGTGTCGATATTGTGAAGTTTTGACAGTGACGATTGCAGTTTTCTTTCTTTTAAATGACAAACCTTGGTAGGTGATAATCCATTTGTTAAGGGCCTCAAGAGCCTTTTCCATCAAAATTTGCTTTCTCATCAACAATTTCCTCCTTAGCAGGACAAGTCACAGGCATCTTTTGAAACTATCTGATCTATATGAATTGTTTTAATCGCATTATAAGAGCATGACCAGAGCAACAGTAAATTATCCTTCCCAACCAGAAATTGCTCTTGTAATTTAAGAGTGTGGTTAGTAAAGCTGGCAGTTCACATTTCATAATTGTCTGGAGCTGGCGGCCAGAACATGAGAAGGAAAGGTTAATGAAAGGCAATAAATAATGAAAGAGTTCTTTTATGTATCAAACTTAATTACTGGCTGATTTATCAGCTTTATTATCATGTGTAATTACAGAGTAAAGAAAGAACTCACTTTGCATTAAGATTATTCAACTGGGAGTGATGCAAATGAGGTAAGTGTCACAAATCTCTGTTCGCTGGCACTTGGAGAGAAGGAACCGATTGCTCCCAGTGTTAAATCGTCACAGTTCTACTGACCAGTAGAAAGAAAGCAAGCCAAAGTGAATTCAGAACAACAGACCAGGCAGCTGTGCCCGATGTGCACTTAAACAGAAATGCTTTAAAATAAGCTTCTAGTTTGAGAACCCCAGGGTTTGCTCTCCTTATTTGCCAGGTTTGCAACACCAAACAGGTGAGGTTTGCAGAAGTAAAAAGAAACCCTTCTCACCCTGTTCACAGAATAAAGCTGCATTGCAAGAGGGGCACCACACACTGTCATAAGCACCAGCTGGTCCTGTTACTTGGGAAAGTGCTTTTAGTTTGGAGGCTGGCACCCAAAAGGTGAGTTAAACTGACACCTGCATTCACCAACTTGACTTTTGCAGGTGAGGAAAGCAGACAGCGAGCACAAGAAGAATAGAGAGGAGAAGTTAATCGAGCAAGAGGTTTTGTGAGGCTGCAGCAATGACAACCTACCTCTGTGAGAGCTGTATCCAGGCTGGCAGCAAGCTTACCAATCTCATAGAACACCTGAGGGGTTGTGGCAACCTTTGCTACCGGCGTGCCTGGTAGGTAAGTCAGCAGCCTGACCAGGTACTTCTTGTTCCCAGGGCCACCATCTAACAAGCGAAGAGAGACACTTTCAGTCACTTTGATACACACATATTAGTTAATGCAAGAGGCAAAAAGGGTTTATCCCAGTGCAGAAGGGATAGCTGATGAAAGAGAGATCATCCAAAGGTCTGATTTACCAGAATGCTGTAGGATGATGTGCAGACCTAACATACTTGCCATCTGGGTTGGACTTGGGAGTCCTTGTGCTTGGGATTGACTCTGCATACAGCAGGTTCCCTCCAGTGCCACAGACCCCCTCTTACACAGTTGTGCAGCAGAACAGGGAGCCTTGGGACTCCCGGCTTTTGTAGGGAAGTTACAGTTAAAGTAGAAGCAGAATGTCAATGCCATCTTTCTTCTGAGCACTGTTAGAACAATATTATTTTCCTCACAGATGTGCTGGAACTGTATTTTACCCCATTCTATAGGCAAATAACTTGTAACATCACTTAGTCAGTGAGGCTTTTTTCCTTTTCTTGTGCTCGGACAGGTCAGATCAATGTTTACTCCAATTCATGACACTGAGGTTGTTTCCTAGGTGTTTTCATAATTAATTGCTACTCTCTTTGAGTTGCTTTCCTTCTCACATTGTAAGTTTGGACTACTATGGCTGCAGGTCACCTGATACATATCCCTTAGTATTTAAAAATAAGCCCAGAGGTTTACTTTAGTACATGCATGGCATGCCATACAGCAAGCTACTGCCAAGCTAAGGGAGATAGCAGGGCAATAAAGGTGCTCATAATCGCTCACCTGACTCCAAAGACATGATGTTACCATCTTTTGTAAGATAAGGAGTAGGTGACGGAAAGCCTTTGGCACTGAGAAACATCATGGCCTGGGTCTGCACGGCAATGAGGTCGGGCTCCTGGCTGTCCTCCGAGTTGGTGATTTTGAGGACATATTCATCAGCACCTTCATCAGCACCTTCACTTCTTGAGACACGCACGTGGAAGTTCTGATCATCGTAGCTGGGGAGTGGCCTGACCCAAGACACTTTCAACCCAAACACCCTGTCCACCAGCGCAGTCACTTCTCCTTCACCAAAAGCTGGTTTGGTCAACGCCTGGGGGTGACGGTCACCTACAGAAGACATCGTGTCTCTAGAAGAAAAAGAGAAGCTGGATGATCTTACCTGTATTCTGACACCAGAAGCAGCAATTACCAGAACCAAGTGCATTCAGGGATGGGAGAAGAGTTTCCTGCATTTATTAATCAAGCAAAGAAAACCCACTAAGCCAGGCCAGGTTTCTTATATTGCAGTTTCTTGCCAACTGCTTACTCTGTAGCCCCCCACAAGGCAGACTTCTTAGAGCAATGCACTCAATCTGTTCAGAACAGGGAGATGTGAGGAGCTTATTAACTAGGAGTGTTTTTATCAGCTAATTTCCAGTAGCAGCCTAGGCTGGCACGCTGCGAGCCAGGGATGAACCCGAGCTGCCGAATCCCTGCCCAGGAGCTCCTGGATTTGCACCTGCAAAAGACATGGCACAATTTAGTATCCC